GGCTCACGTCAGCGCCTCCGCACCTCAGGCGCTGACACCATCAGCATCCAAGGCTGCACTCTCCACCTCTCAAAGCCAGTCAGGAACCTCGGCGTTTTGTTCGACCCTGAGCTGTCCTTTCTCCCTCACATCCGTACCACAACTGGCACCGCCTTCCATCACCTCCGGAACATCGCCAGACTACGGCACTACCTCACCCCTCACGCTGCTGAAACCCTGGTTCACGCCTTTGTCACCTCAAGGCTGGACTATGGGAACTCTCTCCTCGCCGGCCTTCCCGGCACCTCCCTCCACAAGCTGCAGGTCATTCAGAACTCTGCAGCTCGTGTACTGTCCCGCACCAGGCTTCGGGACCACATCACTCCCACCCTCGCTCGCCTCCACTGGCTCCCCATCCTCCAGAGGATCGAATTCAAGATCCTCATCCTCACCTACAAGGCCATTCACGGCCTTGCTCCCTCCTACCTCTCCGACCTACTATCCCCCTACCTACCTGCCCGTACCCTCCGTTCCTCTGGCTCCGGTCTGCTCCACATCCCCCGCCCCAACCGCCCTACCATCGGTGCCGGGCCATCAGCCTCTCAGCCCCCAGGCTCTGGAACTCCATCCCCCAGTGCCTTCGCCGCCTCCTCCCTTTCCTCCTTCAAGGCCGGTCTCAAAACCTTTCTCTTTGACCGTGCCTTCAGCTCCCCTCTCGACTCTCTTCCCCCTCCTCGCTCCCTCCCTTCCCTCCCCTCACCCTGACCATTTCCCCCCTCCTCGCTCCCTCCCTTCCCTCCCCTCACCCTGACCATTTCCCCCCTGCTCGGGTCATGACCCAACTGTGCAGCGCCTTGGGACGTCCTCCTGACGTGAAAGGCGCTTTATAAATGGAATCTTGTTGTTGTTGTTGTTGTTGTTGAAACCCTGGGCCATCGTCAGCAAGCTTTCAATGTTAATAATAATAATAACCATTACATTTAGTATAGTGCATTTCACATTAGTCTCAATGCGCTTCACAGGATTTACTGCCTAGTTTGGAAACTGTGCATTTGGAGGTGATCAAATGATGAGGATTAATGGATGCTGTCTAATATCTAAACACCACCCCCCTCCCTTGGGCTGTCTTTGAGGACATCGATTTCAGTTAACTCAGTACAGGTCAGCGATCAAACCTTCCTGGTCTGTATGGTTCAGTATCAAGTACATGGCGATTACAATACCACTTGCAGTAACATTTTGTTTTATTCAATCATATCTAATTCTGAAAGGAACCCTAATTGCAATGGGAGGATCTCCTATATAAAATTTAGTGATGACTGACTGAACAGTTTAAAAGCGACGGCAGTGATGATAAATTGAAAGTGCTACTGTCATCTTAGATTTGCTGAGATTGTGTCCAGTTTCAAAACAAAACAAGACTGTGGTGTTGAAAAATTCTGTATAAAATGCTGTGATAATAATAATCCTTGCATTTGATGCGATGATTGACTTAATGCAGTGCTTAAAAAATGATGTGTGCTTTTGGCCAATAGTGGATGATCTTATCAGTTTCTCAACAAATACACTAAGCAGCAGGGTCAGAGAAGACGTTTAAATAGCATTACATCTTCTTAGAAAGCTACAAAATGTTCAGAATGTACTTAAAATGNAAAAAATGAAGATATTTAAACACGAGTTTACTGAGATATCAAAAATTGTAACATCAATCACTGCTTTTATCTAACACCAGCCATAATTCTAAACATATGTCAGCAGCTGACTGATGCTGAAGGAAACAGGTCATTTATTTTATAATACAGAAGATAATTTCCTATTGCACTATCTTCAAGTACCTAAGGCATGGCACTCAACAGCTGCCATGTCTGTGCTTCATTGTATTTCAATTTTAGGCAAAAAAAATTTAATTATGTTTAATGTTCCATGTTATGGAGAGAGTTTTTTTTCCAGTTAATAACAGACTGTTGTAAGCCCAGGCAATTTTCTTCATTAGTGTGAAATGAATGCAGTTGTTATGTTCTATAGTTTCAGAATAACTAATGTGTCTATTTTATGCAGGGGACATTTTATAAGGTTAAAATACTTAATTTTGCTTCAAGTGTGTAGAGCAATCATCCTTTATTGCTACTGGTGGTTATTTTCTTGCTGCCTGGGAGAATTCTTTGTAATTTCATTTGTGCAAAATAGTTTTACATAGTAGGTGCTAAAAGCATTAGACCATCATTAACTTTGGGGCCTGTGGTAAGTTTTTGCACTAAAATATATTAAATATATATTTTTTAGTTCAGCTGATGTTTCAAGTGTAGGAGTTGCTTTGAACACTTCTGCTTATGCATTATAAAGTATTTTTACAAATAGTCGTGCAACTTTGAAAGGAATGAACATATCGACCATGACAATTATGATGCTCACTCACAATACTTTCTAGGTTTACAATCAAAGGCCTTTTTGATGCTCACACTATTCAACAAAACACATGCATACATTTTGGTTAGTTCTCCCTTGGGTTTATAGCTAGGTTGGGGAAAAAACATGATAAATTACATCTCATCATATGGTAAGTGTGCCTCCTGCTGGTTTAGTGCCATTGATTGTAAAGAAGACGCTTCTTCCTTGCTTGCCTTCTAAGGTGATACCAGAGGATAATGTGCCACGCTAAAGTCCTGTCTATTCAGGTGCACATTAAATATCCCATGATACTATTTGTAAAGAGAACGGAGTTTCTCTTGGTATCCTAGCCAATGTCTTCCAGATAAAATTGTTAATTTACTTCATGGCTGTTTGCCTTATCAGATCATTGAAATGTCTCAATGTGCTTCAGCACTCTGAGATGCTACCCTGGATGAAAGGCGCTATATAGATGAAAAAAATTGTGGTTGTTGTTTGTGGGATGTTGAAGTGTGTAAACTGGCTGCCATGTTCATCTATGAAAACATAGTTACTACACTTTACAGTAAGATCCTGTGAAGCTCTTTTGAAACGACATGCTAAGGCGCTATATGAAATACAATGATTTATATGCTGAAATTCTGTTAAATACTCAATTTGACAGTGAAAATGATTCAATAAACTAAATTACTCATATAACTGGACTAAATATAAGAGGAGACTCAAACTCCTGGAGCTTGGCCGCTCCTCACCGGAATCGGAAGCAAACTCTTCCAATCAGACCTATCCTCACTCGCACATGACCAACTGACTACACGCTAGTGACTCGCTGGGGAGTGAGGGGAGGGGAGGGGAAAGGAGGAGAAGGCAATGGCAACATTTGTTCTGGATTATAGAAGGTAGTGATTTGAGACTATGCATTTATTCGGACTCAGATTAATTGATTTTATACGAATGGTCACAGGGAAAATTATTTAACAAATTTTATATCTGGTGTTGAATTAAACAATCTATTTTTAGATTAGATGTGCAAATGGTTTGGGATTTCTAAATTCTATTCAACAAACCAAACTATCCAACGATGTTCAATAAACTGAATTTCACAGTACGTGCAAACTATTGTTGAAATAGATGTAAGCCAGTGTCATATAACCCTGAGATCATGGGTAAAAATTAAATTATTTTAAAATATAATTGCTCCTGACATTTTGAAAATATTTATAAATCATAGTCATAAACCCTCCACAAGGGGACAGATGCAGAAAAAAAAGGTTGCAGGTATCTTTCGTAGGAGATACAAAACTCCAAGGATGATTAGACATTCATTCTCCAAACTAATTGGAACCAGAGGTGTTCAGATATTCAAGCATCAATTAATATAACGTGCTCCAGGGATTATATTCCAGGATGCACTATAGGAAAAAAACTATATAAACTAGCTGAATAAATGTATATAAACTAAACAAATCATTGGCTCTTCACTGTATTCAGGTAAAGTAAGCAACTGCTGCCAGGTGATATCCCGTATCAGATGTAAAGAGATTCAAATACATATCTCTTTTCTATGAATTTCACTGGCTGGGTTATTTTTGAATCACCAACAAAGATTTTCTGAAGGCTTGAAATTGATCAGGTTTCCAGCTGCAGCTGAGATACTTAATTTAAGTGTAAAGTTTAAAAAATTTCAAAAGAGCTACATTTCTGTAAAGTTGGCTTTGGTACCTTGCTATTCAGTAAAAAGAATCATTGAGGCATACGGCAGTGGCAGATAACTTTTAAGGATTTCTATTTCTCCTCTCCTGTCAAGCATACCAGTCAAGGTTGAATCCTATACTCTCAATACAGGCAACTATCACATTCCCATTGATTATTGCTTGAGGGATGCAAGCTCCTGATGCTAATTTAGTTATTTAACTGTCACATTACTCTGGGAGCACACTGCAGCCATGCTGTTATCAGCTTCAGGTTTTAGAACAGAAAGAAGCTTAAGGTCTTTATTGCAACTGCAAAATTGTGTGTTACAATAATGATGTAAATTACAATGGTTGACGTAATTTGGGGAGTTAAGGGGTAAACAAAGTTACTTGTACACTCTGAATTCCCACAGATTTTTATTGATTTTATTGGAGATACAATGTTTCAAGTACAAAACACTCAAAAAGTCTCAGTTTTGCATGAGTTGAGGGCAGATTGTCTATAAAACACAAATTGTGTCTTTCTCTCATACACAGCATGAATATATATACAGTATATGCTTCTTTGGAACACCATAAACTAGATGGTGTGTTCCTTGTGAACTCAAAAGAGAAAAATATCCAGGCAGAAAATATAAACATGTAGAATCCAACAAATGACTGAGTATAGGAGTTTGGCATCACTAGTTATATTAAATAATAACAAAATACCAGAAAAATTAAATTATTTACAATATTTAGTTCTATAACAATACAACTGTAGTCCATGCGATATGCAATGTGTTAACTTCTCTCTCATGTATGTTCATTAGAAAGTGGATCAAACAACAACAAATTTTTTTTTTAAAGACGTGTTTCACGTCAGGAGGACGTCCCAAGGCGCTGAAAGGGGAAGGGAGGTAGAGGTTAATGGTCCCACCCCTTTATACCTTGACTCACCTGAGGATCATGTTGCACCTGCACCTCTGAGAGCGTCTTTGCCTTGGAAGTGCAGTTATCATCGTTCCTCCTCATCTCTGAAACGTTTGGTGCTCCACAATGTGCTGTTCCAAGATCTACATTGCCCTCTGAGGTGCTTTAACTGGTGATGTGCAGTTGTACTGCTTGCTACAGAGTTGATTCTCGTGCAGGGGCCAGAGATTTGGGGAGGAGGATTTCAGCAAACAATCATTACCCAGGTCTCCCCCTTTCTTTGTTCCTCTCTGGAAAATCTGTCAAGATATAATAAACTGGTGGAACAGGCTCAATGGGCTGGATGGCCTCCCCCTGTTGCTGTTTTCCTATGTTCTAGTAAATTGTATGGAATGTGTTTAGGAATATCACAATTTTGACCCTAATAATTTGACTACATTTACTGGATTGAGGATTGGATTTATTGTACTGCAATAGTCATTGTCCATTCTGTTATTGGAAGCTCATATTTGGCATTCCTCAGTTTCCAGTTGGAAATGACCATTGTCTTTTGCTTGGCAGCTTGTCTTTTTGGTCAGCCTGGTATCTGACACACAGATATGCCAAGCAATATCCCACAAATAGTGGAACAGTATGGTTCCTGTTAAAGATTTATTAATATTACCATCAAAGAGCTCTCCCACCACCTCCAAAAAAGGAACTGATTTTAAAGATGGAAGACCTTTTTATGCTTACTCTTGTGTTGTAAGATACCTGTCCCCTGTCCAATTTCAGGATGGAAAAGTTGGCAACCTATGACAAACTGAATGCTCAGATTTCCAACCCACTGCTAATGGAGTCTTATCACGAATAAAACAGTCCTTAGCAATCACTGGTCACAGGAGAATAAGCTATGTTGCTGCATGATGTTTACTGCTGTGCTTAGTGCAAGCATAGCCAAACTTTGATTAACTTTACAAAATGCTAACTGCAAGAGGCCAACTAAGCCTAAGTAAGCAAATTAAGAAACAGTGAAAGGCTCATATAGCTTCATTGAGCTTAGCAAATATAAAGCTTAAGCAACCAACAAACAAAAGTAATTTTGTTGAGGTTTTCTACACTGGGTAAAAGTACTAACAACTATTCATCCAAGAGCTTTTCTTGAGATGTACAGAATGGTTGACAATGATACTTTATTTCACTCTAACCTCTGGATCAGAAGATTGGAGGTTTAAATCCTATAAAACTCATAGTTCAGGCTGACACTACTAAGGGACACTGCTTTTTGAGTGCCATCCTTCAGTTGAGACTTCAAACTGATGTCCCATCTGCCTGTTAAAATGGATATTAGAGATCCTATGGCATTAGAGGATGAATAACGTGTATTCTGGAAAGATGAGTCAATGGGGCGAGGTCCTTTTTCAAACCTCTCTTGAGAATTTCTAATGCTCAGGATCACTTTGGTTGCTCACCTATACATTCGATCAATGAAAATAATATCCTCCAAAATTTGCCTGTTATATACGAAAAAGGAAGATACTGTCTCTCAATATCCTAGCCAACAATCCTCCAGATAAAATTGTGCAGATGGCAAATTATCAGTACAAGTAACTGAAAATGCAATCCCAGAAGAAAATATTCAACACTTGTGCTTTCTTCCTCAACCTCTATAATAATAATCCTTGCATTTGATATAGCGCTTTTCACGTCTTCTAGATGTCTCAAAGCTCTTCACAGAATAGACTGTAATGTGAATTGACTGTATATTTGTGGGTGAAACGCGGCAGCCAATTGCGCATAGCAGTGTCCCACAAACAGTCGTAGATTGAAGTGACCAATTTATTATTGTTTTTTTACTTGAGGGATTATTATCAGTCGTGCAGCGTAAGGAAACTTGCCCAAGCATTCACCCTGCCGGGAATCAAACCCAGCTCTCTCGTTTTCAAAGCGATGCCTTGTTTACTCAATTCTATTCAGGAGGGGTCTTAGGTCCTTCATCATGGGATTACCATCTCTTCATATCCACTGTCCCCTCTTATGAATGACAGCATTAACTTTAAACATACAAGCAGTAGATCATTAGTCAGGGTAATTTCATTCTGTGAATATTGGTACAGGTACTGCATTATATTCACCCTATCTTCACTATAACGTATGGTTAATTTTCTATGCCATTACCTCGATAAGCATTGCATATTTCTAGACATATTTGCTGGCATGCATATTTCATGAGGATCATTAGCATGATCAATTTCCAAGCACACCTTCCCACAGAATAAAACAAAGTGCAGAAATTAACCTTTAACCAGTCATAGTGCAATGCCTCAGAATTTGGTTCATATCACTGATTTCCTTTCCAACCTCCCTGAGGGCACTCTGAGTCTCTAAGACCACATTGACCCAGCAGGTCACCTCCTGTGATGCTTGACGTCGACCCAGCATGGGCTTCCCACCCCCACCAGGAAGAACATCTTGTCACTCCAGAACAGCTTCCATAAGCACGTGCCTTGCCTGCAGGGAAATAGTACTTTTCTATTACGATGTTATGCTCCAAAAGTCTACACTCCACAGCTGGATTCCTCTTCCTTCCCAACACTCTCGACACATTTAATGTGAGATTGTATAATTTCCCAGCTTCGGTGTTCACAGTTTTACTGATTTTCACTCAGATTAATGTCCAAATCATTGATTACCCATATTTTGTTGTTTAAGAGAAATGTTGCAACACAGAGATAATAAAGTAGACAATAGTATCGTTTTTTGTTTATTTTGAGTACAGTTTGACATTTGCTCTGGAAAATATCTATGGGGTCTATTAAGCGCCATGTTGAAACCACAATTAAACCATGTGTAAATGCAATTACAGATACCCTTAATTATACAAAATTAACAACCAATTAAAAATTATTGCAAAAACAATTTTACATTTATATAATGCTGTTCACATTTGGAGGATGTCTCAAAGCGTTTCACAGAGTCAAATTCCATCTGTAATTCCACTTTACACATGTTTACATAGTTTCCACATGTCATAAAATACCACATCAACAAATTGCATTTATACAGTGCCTATCACTTTGGGAGGACCTCCCAACTTACTGGACAGTCGAGGGTTTGCACCCGAGCTAGGGGCTGGATTCAGGAGGGCTGGTTCTAAGGTGGGGGGGTGGGATTAAGTGGGGGAAGATGATTTAAGACAGAGTCAAGGAGGAAGGTCTTGAAGAACGAGGAAATGGCGAGGTGAAGGGACTCAGGGATAAAGTTCCAGAGAGTGTGAGATAGGCTGAAAGCCCACCTGCCGATGATGGGGCGGGCAGGGTGGGGAACGTGAAGCAGACCAGTGCCTGCTGAATGGAGGCAGCTATTGGGTTGGAAGAGTTTAAGATGATCCAGAGATAGGGTGGGGCAAGTACGTTTATCAGGTGAGCAAACCAGGTGACCCTACTCGAAAAGAGAAGGGAGTTTCTCTCGGTGTCCTTGCCAACAATCCCCCAGACAAAATTTGTCATTTTCTTCATACTGTTTGTGTGATATTGCTGTACATAAATAGACTGTGTGTTCACCTCCAAATATACAATCACTACACCTTACAATAAAAATCCTGAGAAACACTTTAAAACAGTTCAACAACATGAAAACAACAAACGAATTACATTTGTATCGCACTTTTCATGTAGCGAATACATCCTTATATTTGATGCAGCGATAAAGAACCACGTCAAATATATGGATTATTATTATACACTGCACCTCAAACAACAAAGCATTTCACCAGGGGGACATACACAAGTTGCTTTTCCAGGAAGCAAGTCTGTCTTTAAACTCTCAAAAAATGCAATAATGGACTTTTATTTGGAATGTTCAGATTTTTAACTCTCAGTGGAACACATTGACAAAACAATATTATACAGTCAGCTAACCATGCCCCACTAATTTCATTTAGAAACTGGGCTTTGATACAAAATGATGGGATAACAACAACAAATTACAAATTGGGTTTTGAAAGTCCAAAGTTACAAAACAATTAGGGAACTATATCTGATTTAAACTTTAATACGTTGCTTCCAGATATTTGAAATGCAACCTTGTTTCTTCTGAAGAATTCATTTAATTGAAAACAATCCTTGGAAAAACGAGTTAAGGCAGTTGAAATAAAAATATTTATGAGTTACTTATATTTCAAATGCCCATGAAGGTAGAGATTTCAAACCGTCAATTTATATGTTTCACAAATACATCAGCCTTATATCTTAAATGACTAAACTGGTGCCTATAATTGGGTTAAATATAACTTTTGAAATGCTGTGTAAGAACATAAGTGTGTACAAAAGTATAGTCTGAGAAAAGGTCATTTGCCCACCGATTCCATTCGTTACAAAGAGCACTCACAATTTATCCCCCCAGAGGAGAGAGCTCAAAATCCTTGTCCTCACCTTCAAAGCCTTCCATGGCCTTGCTCCTTCCTACCTCTATGGCCTGCTATCACCATGTCGACCTGTCTGCTCCCTCTGCTCAGCAGCCCCCAGCCTGCTCCATTTTCCCCCTCCCACCATTGGATGTCGTGCCTTCAGGCTCTCTGACCCCACCCTTTGGTATTCCATCCCACAGTCCCTTTGCCTCGCTTCCTCCCTTGCCTCCTTCATGGCACATCTCAAAGCCCTCCTCTTCGACCACTCCTTCGTCCACCTTCCTACCCTCCCTGCTCTCCACCCCTCCTGTTCCCATCCCCCTACTTGGGTCCAAATCCCTTACTATTCAGCACCTTGGGATGTCCTCCCGATGTGAAAGGCTATACAAATGTAATTTGTTGTTGTTGTTATCCCATCAGAAGCGTGAAATTCCACCTAGTCTTAAACTGTAGACAATTTTGCCTTAAGTTTTAAAAATGTGTAGAATTGTGGAAAATAATTGTTTAGACAACTACAATTTCGTTATGGCATTAACTTCTTTTTCCTGGGAGTCTATTCAACATATGCACTACTCATGAAAGAGAGAACAAAAAAATCTAATCTCTAATCTTGCTTGAGGCACGCTAATTGTAAACTCATGTTATCTAGTTCTGCAATCACACTCTAAGTTAAATAACCTGTTACATCCACATTACCCGTGATTCTCATCCTGTT